GGTGTACCCAGGTCCACCCTGACCCAAGGTGGTAGCACCTATTAGGGTCCCAGCTATGGGCAAATAGTTAACCTCCAAACTGGATTTAAAACACTATGAAAGTGTAAAAATAGGTTTTAATACCAGCAATACATTTTTGGAAAAAATTATTACCAGGCATACATTATTACTAGCAATACATAAAAAAGAAGAAATATTACAAGCAATACATTTTTTGAGAAAAATAGAAATGTTACCATCAATAAAAATCCTGTCGACATTAAATAACCCATTGAGATTGATATGCCGTAAAACAAACCAAATATTCAAAGCAAGAGATGAAATTCAATGAAAGAAAATGGCAACTAGAAAGACACTCATAATTACATTTAGAGGGATACAGTTTTTGAGGTTTTTGTTCTATAGAATGGTGCTGAGAATACCATGGACTGGACATGCGAACAACGAGGAAGTTTTAAGAAAAATTTAACAAAAATGACAATTTTTTGGCATTCTCTATTTCTACTAAAACACCATATAAGAAATTATCAATTATCCTGTATGCCAGTGAATGTTGGACAATTTCCTTACGCGTGAAGAGGAGACTCAAAGCATCAGAGATGTGATCCTGCAGAAAGATGCTGAGAATACCATAGACTGAACATGTGAGCAACAAGGAAGTTCTAAAGAAAATGGCGACTAGAAAGACGCTCGGACTTGAAATTAGAAAGAAGCATATGAAAATTCCGGGACACATTTGCGAGAAAAGAAGTCTTGGAAAATTTAATACTCATAAGACAAGACGGGCAGAAAGAAACAAGGTGTAATTTACCTGACGATTTTTGGGTGAACGGAATGTAGAACTGGGACTGGCTGGTAAGGATGGTAAACAAACTAATGTTGCTTAGAGAAACAATGGACAGAAAGTTGTGGAGAGCCATTATCATCGCATAAAAGAAAAAGAATAGATTGCCTTTTGCGGGACCTGATAAGGAGCAATGTATCCTATTGGCTTAAAGTTGGATATGTCGCCAAGTAAACTCTACTGCCTCGAGATTGCTTCGTCCACCGCAAGGAAAGTTGGCTCCCTGTGCCGCGCCAGGAAATTTTTCTCCCCGGAATCGATCCTCCAGATCTACAAATCAACAATTCGCCCTTGCATGGAGTATTGCTGCCATATATGGTCTGGAGCCCCTTCTGTTTGCCTCGGGGTTCTTGATAGGCACCAGAGGCGGATATGCAATATAATTGGCCCTACTCTGGCATCTCGTCTACAGTCACTCTCTCACAGACGCGCTGTCGCCTCTCTCTGTCTGTTTTACAAATACTTTCATGGCAATTGCTCCGAGGAACTGCATTCGCTGGTTCCCAGACTTCATGAGTTCAAGCGCCCTACGAGGCTGGCATCCCGCTCTCACCCTTTCACTGTTGAAACTCCTAAATGTAGCCGTCTCTTCTACTCCAATAGCTTCATGTCTCGCACCTCTCGCCTGTGGAACTCCCTTCCCTATTCCAGTTTCCCTGAGAACTATAATCTCCAGCTATTCAAGTGTAATGTCAATCGACATCTCCAGTTGCCTTGATCTATCCACTACCCTTCTCCTCATCCTTTCTTCTATCACTCCTATCTGAACTTGCTCCAAATTTTCTGTAACCCCTTGTGTCCTAGTGGCTTCCCGCCTTGCTTGGGGTGAAACGCCTAAAAAAAAAAAAAAAAAAAAAGAAAGATATGCCAGGAAATTTCAGCATGGAACCTGACGATCTACTAATTCATGGAATAAATGAATGTAACATTGCAGATTCTTCTTTGGATTTTGTCAAGAATCTCTAAATATGTAGCAGGAGCACCAGACCAGATGTGGCAGCAATATTCAAAGCAAGGATGAGTGGTCGACTCATAAATATGTAAGATAGATTCCGGTGAGAAAAAATATCTAGCACTACCAAGTGAAATAATTTTCCTAGCAGAAGACCTAGCAATTAAAAAGGTCAAGACTTCAATAATCGGGAGTGAAGCAATGGAAACATGTTTATGGATAAATATGTTTGGTTTAGTTTGGTTTTATTTTGTTTTACGACAAATCAACCTCAATTGGTTATTTAATGCCGACCAGATTTTTAAGATAGGTTCTTATGAATAGAATATGTATTTCTTTGTAAGAAATCAGTTTGTCGAACAGTTTCATTGATTTTTTTTTTTTTTTGTAAAGAGGATTTTTGTCAAGAGTCAAATCTATTGCTGGTAATTTTTTTTTTTTCAAAAAACACACATTGCTGGTAATTTTACTATAAAAATCTATTTTTATACTTCCATAGTGTTTTGACCCCAGTTTAGAGGTTAACTAGTTGACCATAGCTGGGGCTTTGAAAGGTTCTACCACCTCTGTATAAATAGGCGTGTATGAATACAAAGACGTGTATATACTCAGGTGTCTTTGGTAAGGGCCGTCACGCACTTATAAAAACAAATAGATATGTGTCAATAAAAATGCCCAAAACTTGTATATAAAAGTTTATCGTAGTAATTTTTCAGTCATCCCAAAAAAAAAAAAAAAAGAATGAATGAAAAAAGTTCTAATATAAAAATGACTTATATCCAAAGTATATAAGGATTCTTAGTTGAACAGTGGAGCAATCCGGGAAGCAGCGAGATTATATGCAGATAGCACAGTGTTGGTAGCAGACACAGAAAGGAAACTGCAAAAACACCTACAGAAAGGAGGAAAGGAAAGCGAGAAGAAAGGACTAAACATCAATTGTTAGAAAACAAAATACTTAGTTATGAGCAAAAGGAACAGCCCAACAGCAAATTAAAATTGGAAATACGGAAATCAAACAAATACAACAATGTAAATATCTGGGAAATGTTTTAACAGAGAACGGAATGGGTGACACTGAAATCCGAAGGTGTATTGAGATAGCAAACGAACTACGCAAAGTATTTAGAAAAGTTTCTTTAGAAACAAAAGAAAAAGATTATAGAACTGTTATTTAATATCAGTCCTATACGGAGTGAATGTTGGACAATATCCATACAGATGAAGAAAAGATTTAAGGTAACAGAAACAAATAAAAGTGTAGTGAACAGTTACATAACATCAGTTCTCCTATACGCCAGTGAATACTGCAAAATCTGCTCATAGATGAAGAAGTGACTTGAAGCAACAGAAACAAATAAAAGTATAATGAACGGTTACATAATATCAGTCCTCCTATACGACATTGAATGCTGGACAATATCCACACAGATGAAGAAGAGACTTGAAACAACAGAAACAAAGAACAGTTACGTAATATCAGTCCTCCTATACGGAAATGATTGCGGAGAAATCTCCTCACAGATGAAGAAGAGGCTTGAAACAACAGTAACAAAGAAAAGAGTAATGAACAGTTACATAATATCAGTCCTCCTATACGCCAGTGAATACTGCAAAATCTCATAGATGAAGATGAGACTTGGAGCAACAGAAACAAATAAAAGTGTAATGAACGATTACATAATAGTCCTATACAGCAGTGAATGCTGGATAATCTCCTCACAGATGAAAAAGAGACTTGACGCAACAAAGATTAATAAAAGTGTAATGAACAGTTACATAATATCAATCCTCCTATACGGCAGAGAATGCTGAACAACCTTCTCACAAATGAAGAAGAGACTTGAAGCAATAGAAACAAAACAAAACAAAAAAAAGATTACAGAACTGTTACGTAATATCAGTTCTCATATACGGCAGTGAATGCTGGACAATCTCTTCACAGATGAAGATGAGAAGCAGCAGAATTGCTGTTCTACAGAAGGATGCTGAGAATACCATAGAACGAACATGTGAGCAACGACGAAGTTCGAGAGACAATGGAAGCAAAAAGGACCGTTTTACTTAACACCAGGATAGTTGAAATTTCTAAGGCACATAATGAGGAAAGAGGGCTTGGAAAATGTGATACTCACAGGACAGATTGAATGCAAGAGGGACAAAGGAAAACAACGCATAACCTACTTGTCGAGCTCGAGTGAATTGATGGTGGAGCAAGGTTTGGGAGGGGATAGCAAAAAAAAAAAATTATTAAGGGCTACAAAGGACAGAAAGTTGTGGAGAGCCATAATCGCCAGCGTCCAGAAGGGACCCGCCACATAGAAAAAGAATGCATATAACTAGATTTTTATTTTTATTTTTGAAGACTTGTTTACTCTTTAAATCCGTAGAAATAATATAGTAGAACAATTGTAAACGAACTACGCCATGATTTTTAAAAATATCCCCAAAATCAGTTAATTATCGGATCTCAATTAGACTTTAAGTAATTATTGATACGTGCATGGATTTATTGATGAAAGGTATTTTGAAAGAAAAATGTTTGTAAGAATTTTTTAAAAACTGATGATATCCACTCACACACACACTTTATTTAATTTTTATGAAATCTCAACGAACTAATAAGAGGCTAATAAAAAGAGGAAAATTTAAATGTAATATAATGTACTCAAATCCCAGATTGTTCATCCTCCCTGGCAATACCTTCAGGGGTGGGGGCTAAGGTTAATCCCTAGTGCAGGCTCTAAATACGCATGGATCCAGCTCTTAGCCTTGTGGTGGATCGCTCACATTTTTTTTTAAATCCTAGCTGCGTGTCCATAAATAGAGGGCAGTTTAAATACATATATTTTATTTGTTCTCAGTGGTGGGAGGGAGAGAGGATACATGTCTGTGTGTGTGTGTGTGAGAGAGAGAGAGAGAAAGAGAGAGAGGGAGAATATATAAGTGTATGTGCGTGTGTGTGTGAAAGAGCGTGTAAATGCCTATTTTGGATCATATATCAATATCTGTGTGCTTCTCTATCTGCCTGAGCGAGTGTGAGTACATGACAGTATGTGCGTAGAGGAGGGAATCAGAAAAGTCCTTGATCCAACCAAGAAGAACTTCCCGCCACCCAACACCCAGGGCTGACGTTTAGTCCGATTTTACAGACTGCCAAAAAAGATTCAGATGGAACGGTTTCTTGATCAAATTGAGACATTTTCAGCAACAGATAGATAGATAGATAGATAGATAGATAGATAGATAGATAGATAGATAGATATGTAGAGGAATAAGATAGATAGATAGATAGATAGATAGATAGATAGATAGATAGATAGATGAATAAGATAGATAGATAGATAGATAGATAGATAGATAGATAGATAGATAGATAGATATGTAGAGGAATAAGATAGATAGATAGATAGATAGATAGATAGATTTGTATGTTTTCTATGGCTACGGTAGGTTATATAAAATCAGAAAATATTTTTTAGATTGTAAGAATTTTTTTTGAGATAATAATGATTTTAGTGAAACACGTAACTGGGGAAAATGTGGATTCATGCCTTTTCTAGATGTGTTTTCGCGTAAGTGAATATAACAAACCCAACGGAAATTGGAACACGGCTCTCCGATTTACTAATTCCGAATCATTATCCATTACACCATCCGCACATCCAAGCCTACAGCATCTGGTATTCTCAAGCGGTCACCGATCTAGGTACTGACCAGGCTTGATGTTGCTTCAATGGTTGTACTGGAACGGGTACTTCAACGTGATGAGGGTAGGTGAATGTTTTGGAATAGGTAGACTGATAGATAGACAGATAGATGTTTAATGCTACATCATATATTCATATATATATATATATATTTATATATATATATATATATATATATATATATATATGTGTGTGTGTGTGTGTGTGTGTGTGTATGTGTGTTTGTGAAAAATTATATTACAAATAGATTTTATTTATATCTAAATTTTTACGCACACACACACACACACACACACATATATATATATATATATATATATATATATATATATATATATATATATATATATATATATATATAAATGGTATGTATTTTGTAGTTGAACCGGATACTGTCTATATACAACGTGTTCCCCAAATTACATCACACTGGTTCTATTTTGTTCCACCATTGCAACTAAAGAAATTTAATTTTAAATAAATGCGCATATTTTTACAGACTCCGTGTGTGTGCGTGTGCGTGTGTGTGTGCGCACGCGCGTGCGCGTTCTTGCGTGCGCGTTCTTGCGTGCGTGTGCTTGCGTGCGTGCGTGCAGGCGCTCCTCCTTCGTTCGTGTGCGTGTGGTTGAACCTGCGCATGCGCGTTCACATATGTCTCGTATTTACAGAGAAACCAACAAAGTGAACGAAAGAAATGCACTTAATACCCAACAACAACTGATTTACTGTCAATAGTTGTTCATTCATTTTTTTTGTCTTTTTTCGTACTTAGTTTGTTTTTTTTTTTTTAAATAAGATTAACATATTTATTCTGCGTTATGTATTTTTTAAAGTTCTTTCATCTCCGCCACCGTTGTTTTCATTTCTGATTTTATGTTTTGTATAAATCTGACGAAATTTATTTTTTGCATTTTTTAAGCAAAGAGAAAAATATTCTCGTTTTTATGCGGCAAGACAGATGTGTGAACACTTTAATTTTATATGCTATAGTGATGAAGAAATAAAGAAAGAAAGAAAGAAAGAAAGAAAGAAAGAAAAGGAAAAGACGAAAAGAAAGAAAGAAAAAAAGAAAGAAAGGAAAGAAAGAAAAGAGAGAAAACGAAAAGAAAGAAAGAAAGAAAGAAAAAGAAAGGAAAGGAAAGGAAAGGAAAGGAAAGGAAAGGAAAGGAAAAGAAATAAATAAAAGGAAAAACGAAAACGAAAAGTAAGAAAGAAAGAAAGAAAAAAAATAAAGGAGCAAAAGGGAAAGAAAGAAATAAAAGGAAAAGAAAGAAAAAAAGAAAGAGAACAGCCTAAAGAAGTTGAAAGCTGTTCGACATAAAAAATATATATATATTAACATTCAGTGAAATATACAAGTTCACACAGTTATTAGTTTGTGTTGTTTGGTTGGTTGGTTTTCTGAAAAGTGAAAAACATTTTTTTTTAAAAAACAAAAAAAAGCAATGAATCCAAAGTTTGTCACTCTCTTCACAGCAAAAGTTATGAAATGTAAGTTTAAATTCTTACAAGCTAACTTTTTTCGTCTATTATTTGCTGAACGTAATAATGTTACATAGAATTTTGCGTTTGAATGTAACTTTTGACAATTTTATTTTTTTTAAAGAAAAGAAAAACTTGGTTCACTTTTAAAAGCACTTTCAAGAAATGTTTTCTAAGAAACTGATGCTTCTCCGTGATCTGAATATTGTCAAAGCCAGCTCCAACAGATCGTTTACTAGCCAACAATGAGTTCGATCCCCGTCTGCGACAAACTAAAGTAGACTTAGTAAATACCATCGAATAATAAATTAAATTTACTTTATGAATCATAAAATCAATTAAACGTATCAGACATCAAAACAAATATGTATTTAGTGTTTATGACATGATGCAATAGTCAATCAAACGATTTTTAATTAAATAAATGCACACATGCATAGTACCAAGCAAACATACGATCCCCACATATACAATCCCCGCCTCCTTATTTTTTTTTTACGTGGATCATGTAC